TCACCCTGAGGCAGTCTTGCTGCTAAGCATCTGCAGTCAGAAGCACTCGAGGTCCCTACCAAACCCCCAAACAGAGCAGAAGCCCAGAGATAGGCTCTCACTCCCTGCGGAGCCAGCCCATTCCTTGAAAGCCCTAATTGCAGAAAAGCATTTTTTTCTTTAAAACAAACAAAAATTTATCTAAAAGGAAAAGTGACAGAGTGGGAGACATCTTCCATCACTGGTTCATTCCCCAGCCAGCTACAACAGTCAGGACTGGCCACGCCAAAACCAGGAGCCCCATCCTGTCTCGCGCGAGGGGCAGGGGCCCAAGCACTAGGGCCCTCTTCCACTGTCTTCCCAGGTACATTAACAGGAAGCTGGATCAGAAGTAGAGCAGCTGGGACTTGAACCACGCTCTGATAGGCAATGACGGCACCCCAGGTAGTAGCTGAACCTGCTGCACCACAAGACCCAGCCCTGGAACAGTGCCTCCAGCTGGCGCACAGTAAGGGCCCTGCCCTGCCCTCGGAGCCTGCCCCTCTGCTCCAAGTCCCAGCCACTGTGCTCTGTCTCCTCCAGCATCTCCCCAGCCCCACTCAGAGGCCATGTGGCCCAGGTGACCTGAGCCTGCCCTGGGGGGAGGACCGGCTGTGAGCCAGGAGGCCAGCTCCGCTCTCCAGCCTCTAGCTGACTTCTCCTGGGGAATCTCTGTTCAGTTCTCAGGAGGCCCCATGGTCGAGTTAGCCGTTGGGTTTGTGAGGAAGATGGGACACACGGGGGAAGCTGAGCACAGGGGCTGGGGGTGGGGTGGGGGAGGGACACAGGACCCTAATGGCTCGTGCCTCAGCGTGCGCACCCCAGGATTTCCCAGAGGAGGGAGGCAGCCACCTCTGTCTTCCCTGAGCTGGTCGTCTTTTGCCTGGTCCAAATAAGGTGTCACCGCCTACTAATCTGAGAATAGTTTGACAGTTTTCTCATGGGAAGATTTTCTCCCGAATTTCAGAGGTGTCAGACTGAAAGCCCCCTGCACGTGTACCCCAGGTGGTTCTCAGCCCGGATCCGCCCTCACCTGGATTCTTCAGTCTCCACCCACTGGTACATCTCCACGTGCCTCCGCAGCTTCACGGCTGGCAGGTGCACCCCATAGTTTGGGTCAGACAACAGCTATGGAGAGAATCAAAGAAACCAAAAAAAAAAAAAAAAAAAAAGAAGATAAGACTCACACCAGCTCAGCATGCCTGGCTCGGGAAAGCTGGACTGGAAAAGAAGTTACTGTAGACAGCAGGGAGAGAAGGCAGAATTCTGCAGGCGTTTCCTGGCCCAAGTCCTTACGGCTTCGTGCTAGGGCTGCACGACCCAATGGCACTGACAGGGTACTGGGTGTGCAAAGAGCAGGAGACTTCTGCAGCCTTGCACACCATGCTAAGCACCATCATTCGGGGCCCCGGGTAAGAAGTTCAGGCCCAGACCACATAGCCAGGCCCTGTGCTAAAAAGTTAGCAGACTCATCTCCCCAAATCTTCAGAGCCAGCCGAGAGTCTGCTGCCATCACTGTGCATGTTTTACAGGTGACACCAAGCCTGAGGAGTGGGCGAGGGCCCCCCGGAGTCCCACCCGCAAGGCCACACCCTCCAGCCGTGGCCTGACCACAGCCAGCCATGTGCCCTGAGCTGCCCAGCTTACCTTGGACGTCCGCAGGGCTCCGATGATGTGCACCAGCCTCCCTTCGTTCTCCGGGGCCACCGTGTGGATGCTCTCAGGGGTCACCACGAGCGAGAGCCCCTCAGCCAGCGTGGTCGCCGTCTTCAGTGCGCGGCCCTGGGTGTGGAGGAGGGGCGGGCTCAGCAGGGGCCTCGCAGAGCCTGACTGGTCTCCCCATTTCACTCCTGGAAAACTGAGGTCCAGCAGGTGGCAGACTGAGAGGACCAGAGTCCAGGATTCCTGCTTCCCCAGGCAGACCTCTACCCAACACTGTCTGGTTCCCAGCGGCCCCTTCTCATCTCAGCTGGAAGAGCCGAGTTTCTGCCTTCTGCGTTCTCTCCCCCACTGTCCTCTGCTTCTCTGCCCCTTCTCGCAGGCCTCATGTTGTACAGTGCTGGACTCATTGCTGACCAAATCCTGTGCCGCACGTGTCCCCGCAGCCGTTCTACATGGACTTAGGGAGAGGACCTTTCCTCTGGGATTGCTCAACCAGCTGGATGTGAGCCTAGAGTTGGTGGGGCCACCTCTGCCACCACACAGGAAGAGCCTGCGCAAGAGAAACAAGTGACGAAGGGCCACGGGCCAGCGATAAAGGGAGGAGACCTTGGGGATTCCAGCACGAACACCTGCACCAACCACGCCTGAGGTGGGCGCTGCCCTTGGATTCTCAGGTCCACCCGCCCTCCGGCTTAGCTTGGCTATGAGTGGATCACAAAGACTGCTCGGAGCCCTGCAGCCCTCCTTCTCTTTGGAAAGTCACAGCCCTTTGGTGCCAGCCCAGCCCTTGGCTCCCTGGCCTCTGCCCCTGACACAGTGGAGGTGCTCACTCTGGCCAGGGGCCCCAGACGTCGTACCTCGTTGGTGAAAATTAAGTAGAAGGAGAGCAGGAAGGTCATGAGCCCCACGAACATCCCCCCGGAGGTCTCGCTCAGCCGCTCCAGGAAGCCCGGCTGTGCGGCGGTGCTGGTTTTGGTATGCTCTCTTCTGGGAGCCGTGCTGGAATACTGCGGGAAAGTCACAACAGAAACTGCGCTGAAAAATACGCTGACTTCTGCGGTGTACACTCAGTTTCTGTGGAGCTTTAACTACAGTTAGTAAAAACGCAGATTCTAAGTATACAGTTTGATGGGTTTTGACAATGACGTTGCTATATGTATGTGTGTGGAGGGTCCAGGACCAATCCCCTCAATGATACTGAGGGACAACCATACTGAGGAGTGGGACTGCTGGGTCAGAGGGAAGATGGGTGTTTAACTTTAGGGATGTAAATTTAATTTTTATTTTCTTTGAAAGGTGGAGGGAGGGGAGGCAGAGATCGAGATCTTCCATCAGCTGGTTCATGCCCCAAATGGCTGCAACAGCCAGGGACGGGCCAGGCCAAAGCGAGGAGCCAGGAGCTCCACTGGGTCTCTCATCTGGGCAGCAGGGGCTGAGCCGCCACCTGCTGCCTCCCAGGGTGTGCATTAGTAGCAAGCTGGAATTGGAAGTGGATTCAGGACTCAAATCCATAGAGGACGTGGGGGTCCCAAGTAGCACTTTAACCTCTGCACCAAACACGCCTCCCCATGTTTAACTTTAAAGTTTTTTTTTTTTTTTTTAATGTTTTATTTTTCATCTACATGAAAGGCAGAGAGAGAAAAAGAGAGAGAGAGACACACACACAGAGAAGCCAGGAGCCTGGATCTCCATCTGGGTCTCCCACATGGGTGGCAGGGCCTGAGTACTGGGGCCACCAGCTGCTACCTGGAAGCTGGCTGAGCAGCCAGGATGCTGCCTGGGGAGTGTCCCAGGCAGTGACTTAAGCCACGGGGCCACAAAGCCCAGTCTGTCATACTTGACCTTTTAGGAACTGCCAAACTGTAGTACATGAAGCTTGTTAGGGATGTACTCTTTATTACATTTAACAAGTAGGGGCTGAGCTTCCGGAACTGCTCCTGGGCCTTGAGGGCACTCAAGTCATAGCCATAAGATTGGTGGTCATTCTGAGTATCCTGTGAGCGAGGTGCACCTGGTCCTTTCTGGGGTATCAAGGAGGAGGGGGCATTTGAGTGTGGGGAGGGCCTGCCCAGCAGAGGGCCCAGGTGAGCAGTGGTGTGGCAGCAGGACATGTGTCTCAGGAGCAGCTGCCGTCTGCCTGGCTGGGTTGTGAGGGCGTGGGACAGCATGAGGGCCACAGGCATGTCTGGGCAAGTTCCCAGGCACAGTCTGCAGTGCGTCCCCCGCCGACCAGGAAGGCTAGCCATCCAGGCTCTGCCACACACCGGCCAGGGGCCTTTGGCCAGGCAATGAAAACCCTCTGTAGCCTCCACTTCCTCATCAGTAAAGTGGGAACAGGGGTCCACTGCACAGGCTGCGGTGAGAAGCCAAGGACGTAACAGCCAGGCTGCTGAGCACCGCGGGCCCTGCAGGGCCCTGTGGGTTTTCACTAGCAGGGCTGTTATCAGAGGTCTCTGCATCCGACGGGGGTGGCAGCAAGGCTGTGGGTGAGCCAAGAGCGGTCACGAGGGTGGAAAGTGCTTCCCAGAGGAGCTCCTGCTGCCTGAGGGGCCCCCACCTTGCCACCGCCCAGTCCGAGGAGAGACTGAGATCAGAATCTCTGCACACTGCAGCCCAGGCCTGCCCAGGACCACACGTGTCCACCGCACCCAGAAACAACCTGACTTCCGGTATCAACAGATACACTGCTGGACTCTGTCAGCAGGTGGGTCGCTGACCATTGGCCATGGTAAGGATGGCGATGCAGACCTGCCAGGCTACCATGGGCCAGGCGTGGGCAAGATCCGGGGGACAGACACTCACTATGCCCCATTTCACCGGTGAGAAAAACCAAGTCTCAGCAGTTTCGGCGTCTGCCCAGATCTCACGGCCTTTTGGATTTTTCTACCACGAAGCTCACGTCTGTGTCACTCAGTGCTGGGGCTGAAATGTGAGGTGAACGCTGGGTGCCAGCTGCAGGCATGGCTTCCTCCTGGGCCCCCCCGTGGCCAGCATCAAGGGCTCCAGGAGGGCCTTGGAGGGAAGGAAGAGAGGCCCAGGAGGCTCCCTGCCAGGCTGGAGGGAGGTGGGTAGTGACAAGACACACCCAGCACCCAGCCCAGGTTCTGAACCAAATTTCCCACACTCCACACTCAGGAGGGGCAGGGAGGAGGTATGCAAATGAGCTCCTCCCAGTGACACACTCACACACACACACACACACACACATTCGGGCACTCCAGGCTCAGCTGCATGAACAAGTGGTGGGAACAAGGACTCACAGCACCAGCTTGGCCAGTCGGCTGCTGGGCAACCTTGGGTGAGTTGCTCTGCTTCTCTGACACCCCCCCCCCCACTCACTTAGGAAACGCAGAGGGGGTCACTACCTTCATCAAGGGACAGTTACTGTCATAGCGAATGCTGCCCTCTCCCACTCTTCAGATCTTTCCCCCGCCCTGAGGGAACCCCAACTTTTTTGCGCATGCGTGCAGCTAAACCAGCGACGGGCATTTTCTCCACAAAGTAGCAAGACGCGCGAGAAAGTCCTGGTGGCTGCCATCGACGTGTCCCCAGCTCTGCAGATCAGCAAGAGCCTGGCGGCAGAGGCGGCCCAAAGGTACCCCCGTTTCTTGGTGACACACCCGGGCCAGGCGCGCTAAGGCTGTGAGAACCACCTGCTGTTCGGTGCTGGGAACAGGCTCTGTGCTGAGCTGGTGAAGAAACACAGATCCAGCGAGCGCAGGGCCACACAGCTACAGAGCGGGTGTGCCCCCAGGTCTCCCTGAGTCCTCAGCACCTTCCCGTGTCCTGGTGTGTGCCAGGGTGGACGCGAGACCCTGGGCAGGTCCCTTCCCCTGCTCTGCAAATTCCCCATCTGTGAACTCCATGGATGGCGGCGCCGCCTGCTGCAGGGCCAGGCGGGTCTCCTGGAACCGTCTGCCCTGGCGGTCCTCCGCCCGCCTTTTTTAGGGCACTGTGCCAGGGGCAAGGGGCGACACAAACCCTGGCCTCCCGGGGTCCCTTTGGGGACAGAGCAGTAGCCTTGGCAAGAGAGAGTGACAGGCCCGGGAGGGCGGGTCTGGGCTGGCAGGGTGCTGGAGCTGGCTCCACAGAGCAAGGGAGTGAGTCACCAGCTTCTCGCACAGCCGACACCCCGGCAGGAGGGCGAGGTTTGTTGAATGAATGTTCTGTAGGTTGCAAAGAGGCTGGCAGCCCTGAAGGCCATCCCCGGCCAGGGCCCCTCCGACCAAATCCGCTAGGAGGGGACGGGAGGGGAGGGGAGGGAAGGGGAGGGGAAGGGAGGGCGGGCCGAGGGACGCGATTCTCCTCTGCAGCTCTCCCCGCCCAGCCCGGGCCCCTCTGGGCATCGCAGCCCCTGGGCGGGGGTCTCGCTCTCTGCCCGGTCTGTCCCTCGCTGGACAGCTCCCCGCGGGCGGGATCCGCCTCCCGCCCTCGCGACGGACCGGCCCCCTCCCCGAGGCCGCGCCCGGCTCTCCAGTGCCGCGGGGTTCAGACCCCCGAGGAGCCAGGCGGGGCCTGGGAGAAGCCGAGGCGGGCGCGACCCCTCCCGAGCCCCGCTGCCCGCAGCCGCGCCCCGCAAGGCGAGCCGCGCCGAGGACAGCGGACAGAGACGGGAGCAAGACGGACAGGCCGAGCGACAGCGGACGAGACTGCGACGAGGCGCGGACAGCCCCTCAGACCCGGGCGGCCAGCAGGGAGACGGGGCGGCCTGGGTGTGGCCCGGCCGACCGGGAGGCACTCACATTCGCCGCCATGCTGGGGCCCGAGTCGCGGCCGCCCACTCGCTCTGGTCCGGAGGACGATCGGAGTGCAGAGTCTCGCGGCCTCTTCGCTGCCCTACCGCCGAGCAACTCCGCGTGGAGCCCGGGATCAGGAGCAACTTGCTACGCAGTCCCCGCCCCGAGGGAACCCCAACTTTTTTGCGCATGCGCGCAGCTAAACCAGCGGCGGGCATTTTCTCCACAAAGTAGCAATATGCCCGAGATTCACTGGCACGCCTGCGCGCCGCAAAGAGTTCCTGGGAAATGTAGTTCCCACCTTCTGGAGGGCAGCCAAGGGGCCCCCTCAGGCTCTTGGGAAATGTAGTTTCTGGCTGAGGAGAGCCGGGCTGGCGCTGCGAGGGCGCGGAGGCAGGCGCGCGGCGGGCAGGCCTGGAGGGGGCGGGTCTGCGCGGGCCTCACAGCCGTCTGTCTTCCCTGCCTGAGTAGAGGGAGGTCACGGCGTGACCGTCGCCACCGCCGCCGGTGCGAGGTCGAGTCGCCGGGCCGCAGCCATGGCCTACTGCCGGCAGGAAGGTAGGGAGAGCGGACTGCGCCGGCCTGTGGGAGACGCGCGGGCTCCTGCGGCCCCTGTGGCCCCTGTGGCCCCCGCGGCCGGCGAGGGCTCCCCGAGGCGCGGTCGGGGGGTGCCCACCTCGGGGCTGACCGGGCAGCGGGGTCGCCACATGGAGTTGTGTAGAAGAGAAAACGGGGTTCTGGGAGGAACGGGGCTGGTCCAAGGTCACGGTGCAGCCTGAACCCGGAGCTCGGAGGGGCCTGCACGTGGGAGAGCCGCAGACCAGGCCCGGAGGGCGCCCGCGAAGCGAGCGCTGGGCTCGCAGGTGGGATTGTGCTGCGGCGACTTGTTCGCGCCCCGCGCGGGCCCTCCACGGAGGCGTGTGCGGTGTCGGGGCGCGGGAAGCGCCCCCTGCGCCGTTGGAGCGTGTTCCTAGCTCGGCGCTTGCGTTTATGGAGCCGTAAACCGAGACGCAGGTGAGTCGGCCAAGCCGGTGGGGCCGGGGTTGGAGGCCCTGCTGCTCTGCCCCCCAGAGCCGTCCCCGGGCCTCGCCACACTACCGGGGTCCCTGTGCCCTAGCGGACCCCCGGCCCCGCCAGGCCCCCGGCGCCGGGCCTCATTCATTCGGCGGCGCGTTCTCGGTACCGGGGGAGCGGCTGGTGGGCTGCAGCGGATGCACAGCTGTGGAGTTAGCACTCAGACAGAAATTTGAACAGCTTTGCTCCTTCAGTTTAACTTATGGGTCCTGAGGCCCAGAGAGGGTGGCCACCCATCCAGCCCCCTGCTAATGCGCCTTTGGGGCAGCGGCTGGTGGCTACAGTACTTGGGCCCCTGCCCACCCCCTGGGGGGAGACCCAGAGGCTGTTCCTGGCTCCTGGTGTGAGCCTGGCCCCCTCTGGCCAGCATTTGGGAAATCAGTGGATGGAAGAAGACCTTTCTCTGTCAAGTAGATGAGAATAAGTAAAATGTTAGAAACGAAAATGAATAAAGAAATATGCCGGGTCTTTACCGCGGGACTTCTGCCTGGGTGTAGAACGGCTGCTTCCCTGGACCCGAAAGCTGTCCCACTCCCTCTCCAAGGACCGCGGGCATACCTCACTTTCATTGTGCTCCCTATTCCGTGCAGCTTCCGTTTTGAAGCTTTGTGACAGCCTTCTGTGGAGCAGACTGTTGGTGCCATTTTTCCAACAGGGCAGATAATTGTTAGTGTTTTTTAGCAATAAAATATTTTAAATTAGGTGTATTATTTTTGTAGCTATAATGCTATCGCACACTTAATTGACTATAGTATAGTATAAACATAAGTTAATATGCACTGGGAAGCCAAAACGCTGTGTTGCTCAGTTTATTGCGCTGTTTACCTTATTGTGGTGACCTGGAACTAAACCCACAGTGTCTCTGAGGTGTGCTGTACTGTTTCTCTTGATGAACACTTACTGTGTGCCCCAAACAAAGACCTCGGCCCCACCACTGTGCTAGGCAGCAGGTCTCTTAGCTTCTTGTTTTCACTTGTCTCTGAGTCTCATTTATTTCTTCATTTGGCAAATAATGAGCCTTTGCGTGTAAAGACACCATGCAGATTAATATGAGCCCTCTTTCTCTCTGTGGGTTAAAGGAGTCCTAGTCCATTGGCCATTATTATTATTAAAGATTTATGTATTTTATTTGAAAGGCAGAGTTTCAGTGAGAGGGAGAGAGAGAGGTCTGCTGGTTCACTCCCCAAGTGGCTGCAGGAACCTGGAACTTTGGGTCTTCCACATGGGTAGCAGAGGCCCATGGTCTTGGGCCATCTTCTGCTGCTTTCCTAGGCACGTTAGTATGGAGCTGGATTGGAATCGGAGGAGCCGGGACTTGAACCAGCACTCACATGGAGTATCAGTGTCTCAGGCAGCAGTACTGTGCCACAACCTGGGGCCTCCCACAGGCCACTTTTTTTTCCTGGGTCAAAGGTCACTCCTATCCTAGCTTGAGGAAGAGAATTGAAAGCACTTGTTAGCAGTTCTTAGTTTTTATCTTTATCTATACCATGGTCCTCTAAAAAGTCCCAACTTTTGTTTTTCTGCCCACTGATTCTTTATGGTTGCTCTGGCATTTAGAAAAATGATGCCAAAGATTTTACCACACAAAGGCTTATGTAAGCCACCCCTGCATACTCCTCCACCCTGACTTCTTCCCCCTGTTCACTGCTCAGCCACAGGTCTCCTGGCCAAATGCATTCTTCCAGCTCTTCCCATTCTTTAAGATTAAGCTCAAGTGCCACTTCCTCAGAGAGGCTGTCCCTGAATTTGTGTCTGTCACATCTTAAATTCACTGAAACAGGATTTGCTGCCGTCTTACCTCCCGTCTTCTAAGCTTGTACCCAGGACCTGCTGTGGAGCAGATTCTCAGATCTTTATGAAATGAACCCATGCACGTGCATGCCTTGTTCTGAGCCTGTGCAAATGTATTTTTTAAAAGACTTATTTATTTATTTGAAAGGCAGAGCATCAGAGAAAGAGAGTGTGTGTGTATGTGTGTGTGCTTCCATCTGCTGGTTCACTTTCCCGATGGCCACAATGGCCAGGTCTGAGCTAAGAGGAAGCCAGAAACTCCATCTGGGTCTCCCGTGTGGGTGGCAGGAGCTCGAATACTTGGATCACTGCCTTCCCAGGCACATTAGCGAGAAGCTGGGTGGCAAGCGGAGCAGCTGGGACTTTGACCAGGGGTCTCATAGGTGAAGCTGGCATCACAAGTGGGAGTGGGCCGCTAAGCCTGCTGCACTGCAACAGCAGCCCCCGGAGCCTGGGCAGATTTACGTCAGACGTCCAGCCACTACCCAGCTTCTGGTTAAAGGCCTTAGGTTGGCATTCAAGGTGTTCTACTCTGGGGCTTGGCCTCACTCTGTGGCCTAGGGCCGCCCACACTTCTCTGTCGGTGCCACACCATTCCTTTCTTTGGTTTCTCTTTCTAGAACAGAACTTTCCTGTTGTGCCAACAGACATTTATTGAGTGCATGTGATGTGCCTGCTTCTGGTTATACAGTAGTGAGCAGGGTAGCACATTCTGTGCCCTCGTTCATGGTGGGGGATTGGCATGAAAACATCACCAGATGAATGTGTAGTCCCAAACTGTGATAAGTGACGTGAAGGGAAAGCTGTGGTAGTGAAATGGCCCAGAGGCTTTGGAGCTACTTCACACATCACTTTCTCAAAACCTTTTCCAGTCCTGACCACACACCCGGGAGTGAGGCTGCCTCTTAGAACCACTGTTTGCCTTCCAGGCTTTGCCTGGGTTGGGGCTGAATGGCTCACCCCCTCTTCCCTCCCCAGTTCCCCGAGATGTTGCCTGAGATGGCGTCCCTTCTTGAATGGAAATCTCTGCCTTCCCTCCCAACCATACTTCTCCACTGGATGCCTGTGTTTTATTTAGCTGTAACCTCCCCACATGCCCCCTACCCCCTGCCAGATTCTGGCACAGCAGGAGTTAAACATTTTTTTAAGGCTGTTGGGTGGGTGAATCAATCTTATCTGCTGATTCACTCCCCAGGTGGCAGAAGGCAGGGTTCTGGAACTTCATCGAGTCTCCCAAGTGGGTGACGGGCTCAGGTCTTCGGGCCATCTGCCCTACCTTCTCAGCCACGTGAGCGGGAAGCTGGCTCAGAAGTGGAGCAGCCAGGACTGCCAGTGGCACTAAGGGGGTGCTGGCATTGCAGGCGGCTTAACCCGCTGAGCCACAGTGCCTGCCCCTGAACTAAACTTTGTATGCTTGCCGTCTTCTTAGGCTGTGAAAGCTCTTTACGTATTCATCAGAGACTTGTGCTGCTTTCCCCCCCCATCTCTTCCAGTTTTAGGATTCTGAAGAGCTAGCAGGGTGTCTTTATGTCTGCTCCCCAAACTCTAGCAAGCTCTGTAGCACAAAGAGTTCAGCAGATGTGTGTTGAGTTGGATTTCTCTCATAGATTTTGAATTTGCCTCCTAAATGCAGAAGAGTTGCATCTTTCAAGGGAGTTAGGTTCTATATAACATGTTAGATGAGGGTAAATGTGTTGAAAACAAAGCAGGCAGGGTAAGGGAGCCGGTTAGAGGTCTGGGTAGGGGTTGGCATCTGAGCAGGGAGAGGTAGTTTTCTGTGCAAAGGCCCAGATGGTAGGGGAATGCCTGGTGTGTTCAGTGAAAGCAGAGAGGCTGACACGGCTGGAGTGGAGGGAGCAGACAATGGGAGATGGGGCATAGAGATGAGGGATTCAGATCTATGTGGATGTATGTGAAGGTAGGACCGTGTGGATTTGCTGATGGAGGTGTGAGAGAGAGGCTTCAAGGATGACTCCACAGAGAGTAAAACTGCAAAAAGGGTCAGCTATCTGGTTTCCAGCTGCTCACTGAGCTCTCTTCTCAGCCCCATCCTGCAGTCCTGTTCTCAGACTGGCCCCTGGGACCTTCCATCCTGACTGTTAACCACGAGCCTGGGATGGGAACTGGTTTGCTCTGCTCTGGCTGACTTCCTCTTTGTGCACTTTGGCTTAGCTGTCTCCACTGATTGAGATGGAGAACACCACTTGCAAAACTTTTTGAACATCTCTAGCCTGTGATTGTCTTTATCTTGGCCACAGTGTCATTGTCAGTTGATGCCATTTAAAAAATTACTGTCTTGGGAGTGGGATTTCAGCTGAGAGCAGAGACTCCTGTCACCTGTTTTGTTTAACTCATGTCTTGATTTTTGCTCACGGGGTGAATGTGAGCTGTTGTCTGAGATCAGAGGGTGCTGAGGTCACACAGCTGGCAGGTGGGTGTCTAAGCCAGATCTGAACCCCAGTGCCCAGGTTCTGTGGGAAGGGGAAGCCGCTGTGAGCCAGAGTGTGTGCAGGGCCTTTCCGGGTCCTGAACGTGTGGACTCACCGTTGTTGGGTTTGTCTTAGAATGAAAACACAAGCGTTGCCATATTCACTCATGTTCCCCTAAAGAAATTCCGTAAGCACCACTAGTGTGGCTGATTCCCCTGCTGGCTGGCCATCGCATGTGTTCCCTTTCACAGTTGGGTCTGCTTCCACATCTTCACCTTTGCTTTCCCTTAGCATATCAGTGACTGAGGTTTCCTAAATGGAAAGGGAAACCAAAAAGGTTTAAAATAGTCAGAGGCAATGCCAACAGCCGTCGTGGAGCCGCCTCTGCAGGCCGGGCCTCTGGCTCTCAGTGGCTGTCTACACTCAGGGCCACTCTTGGGGCCCTCTCCATGGGCAGTTTTTGAGGTACCTAAGGAAGTTTTAAATACGAGGCACCTCCCATCCCCTCTAGTTGAGGGTCCCATTATGCCAGATCCGGGGTCAGAGTGAGTTGTCAGTAGGCCTGTAGGATTTGTCCTTGTGCTTTTCCAAGAAGGATCAAGAAAGATGCTTATTCACTCAGCAGACATTCCCTTGGTACTAGGCTTCTTGCGATGGGACTTGGATTGGTATTTATTGTATTTATTCATGCCCAGGGCCTGTGAGCCCTCGGACTGTGCCTGAGTCATGCTGAGTACTCAGTGTCTGCTTTCACTGTTCTCGTGTTTGTTGGGGAGGGACTGTGTGGGTGTGTAGAAAGGACCTGCACCCGTGTGGACTTTGGCAGTTCCAGGCCTGTGTGAGCCCGGGCGAGCCACCACCCAGAGCTTCAGTCTCACTGCTGTTAAATAGGGGTCCTGCTTTGGGGTGGAGGGACTAGCTGACATGCAGGACCCAGATGTGGATCGGCCCTGTCTGTCCTCACCATGGGGGTGCTGAGTGTCTACACTGCAAGGGGCGTATCTGGCACATGTCTGCCCTGTGCTTAGCTGGTGGAGGAAGGCGGTGAAGTGTTTGCAGCTAAATGGTGGCTGGAAAGGAGCAGTGAGGAAGTCAGATAGGAGGGCCTGCCTGTGCTTGGTGTCGAGTGTGACCACTCTCAGCCTTGGTTTTCTGCCACACACAGCAGTGGCACTGTAGGGTTTGGCTGACACGAGACATTCATTCACTCATCCCGTTCGCTCACTGCTGATGCCCCTCTCTGTGCTCACTTAACCGCTCAGGAGGAGGAGTTCCAGATGGAAATGTGTTTGCTCCCACACGGCTGTTTCCCTGAGCTCTCAGGACCCTCCCACCCTGAGCAAGGCTCTCTGCACTTGAAGTGTAGGCTCCCCAGTGCAGGTCTCTGTCCAGCCACATCCTCATCCTGCTTCCCCGCCTGTTGTGTTGGTCCTAAAAAACTAGCAAACTTCAGAAGGTCTCAGAAGTGAAAGCATGAGCGCTTCTGGGATGAGACCCCTTCCCCAGTTATATTCACTGGGAAATAGACCCCAGGCCTTGTGGGCTGCGGAGGAGGCTGTGGTGTCCCCAGCATCATGAGCCTGCCTTCTGCTGGCTACAGGGGCTGAGAGGCCGAGAGGGGGTCTTGATTATGAGCACTTGACCACCCCCTCAGTGTTTCAACAGCAGCAGCCTGGGCTGTTTTCCTGTGGAGGGTCTTCATGGGCAGATTTAACGACTACATCAGCTGTGTGAGCTGCAGTGCTCTGCATCACTGTATACTGTGACTTGGTCAGAGTTCTGTCATCAGTGCCTCTTTCCTGCCCTGCTTCCCTGTCTATCCCCTCCCCTCCCCTCCCCTTTTACCCAGCACACCACAGCAGCTTGTGTAACAGAACTGTGTGCTGTTGCTCACTTGCAGGCAGTCTGAGCAGCCCTGGCGCTTCATTTTGCTAGGGTTGCCTGAGGGGTGACTCCGGGAAGGTTCCTGGGAGGCTGGCAGGAGGGGAGACCCAGCAAGTGGGTGGGGTACCCACAGGCCTGTGGGGAACACTGTGGACAGGCAGAATGCATTGGAAGATCTCAGGAGGAGGACAACCTCTTTTATTTTTTCTTCTTTTTTTGAGGGATGGGGGGAGGGGTGTGGGGCAGGGGGCTGTACTGATGGACCGTTGGCAACCTTGGAGACTAAAAGCAGACACTTTGGTTGGATCAGGGCGTTTTGTCTGGTCTCCCACCTAGAAGTGCATGGAGGGTGGAGTGTGCGGTCGCCTTGCCCACTGCCATCATGGAGTTTTTCTTGCAGCTGCAGGCCCATCCCAGTCAGTGGCTCCCCAGGGGGAGCAGTTTGGTGTCACCTCACCTGGGGGTACACATGGGACAAACTGGGTTTGCGTGGCTACTTTGTTCTAAGGCTGCTCTTGATTGAAACCTTTTTTCTTCTCTTCTCCAAACACTAGGAAAGGATCGAATCATATTTGTGACCAAAGAAGATCATGAGACGCCAAGCAATGCGGAGCTGGTGGCTGATGACCCCAACGATCCCTATGAGGAGCACGGTGAGGAATGGGGGCCTCCCAGAAACCCACAGAGGGAGGTTCAGTGTTCATAGTTTCTTTTTCCATTTTATCTTTGCTAAGGCTGGGTTTTGAGGTGTCCATCCCAGCCGCAGGCCATCTCTCAGGGTGCTGAATGTTTTTCAGAGATGTTGGGCTGTCTTGAGCCAGTAGGCACAACACAGAGTTTGTCCTTACTGAAACACTTCTGTGTCTTCTCTCAGATTTTACACTGACCTAACTTGTTTGGGTATGTCACAGTGAGTGAGTTTGGGAGTTGGGGGAGTCTGTTGCAGCAGTCGCAGGTGGATTAAAGTGATAGTCTGCTCACTAAAGTGACCAGACACCTTGTAACGTGAGGCTGGTGAGGTCCTGCTCTCTATTTAAGTGCCCCAGCAAGCACCTCGCACGATGTGTTCTGATGATTTTCCAGCATGAGGATTCAGCTAAAACTAGTCCGAACTAGGTAAGTGGCTGTGTATAGCAGTGTCCCCTGGACCTAGGGCTTCATGGAAGACTTTGGGCTTCTGGGATCACTGGATACTTCAGACAGCCTATGTAAGGTGTGTGTGTGTGTGTGTGTGTGTGTGTGTGGTGTTCATGAACAGTCCACATGCAGTAAACAGTACTCATTTCCCAGTCGAAAACCACTCCTCACGTCTGTGATAACTAATAAACATTCGAATGCTATTGGGTGATAAATATGGTTGAAGAGCTTGAAACAGCCACCTCTGGCATATGAATTCTTGATTGGAATTTTCCAAACCCTAGGTTAAGTGGATATTCCTAGATGAGACAATTTGCTTGTTACCCTGTTGTTCCTTGGGGTTAGAATAAAGCTAGGGACACATACCTAAGAGATGGTGGGACGTGTAGAAGTTACACAGAATGTTAGTGTTCCGAGTGACAGCTGCAGGAATCATCTTGAATCTGCATTCTTTTATGAATAAAAATAAATTCTGTCAATTTTAGTACTCTGCCTATCTTTAGGTCCATATTTAGCACATTTCATTATGAAGACTCCTTGGGGCGGTGCCGTGGCTTACTTGGTTAATCCTCCACCTGTGGCACCGGCACCCGGAGGACAGTGGAGGATGGCCCAGGTGCTTGGGCCCCTGCACCCGCATGGGAGACCAGGAGGAAGCACCTAGCTCCTGCCTTTGGATGGGCGTAGCTCTGACCGTGGCGACAATTTGGGGGGTGAACCAATAGAAGAAGACCTTTCTCTCTCTCTCTCTCTCACTGTCTAACACTATCTGTCAAAAAAAAAAAAAAAAAAAAAAGACTCCTTGAGGCCTGCAGGACAAATCAGGCCTTGCTTGCCACCCAGTGGTTTTAAAAAATGTGAGTGTGTCTGCCTTTAGACTGGGCCTTCTCCTCCTCTAGTTCCTGCCATTCTTCGTTGTCCCTGTGGTTCTCTACCAGCTTGTCATGCATAATGTATTGACCTGGGCCCTATGGGTGTCCCCTATAGTGTATTTGTTTTTGTAACCCCTTCTAGTGAATAATTGTTCAAGGAATCTTAGAAAGCACAGGGAACTCTGGGATCCAAGTTCTGAGCTCTCAATAACAAAACCACTAAGTAGACTAAGTAGGTCACTAGTTCTTTCAGCTGCCTGGCTGCCAGTGCCCAGTTCTGTGGCTGTGGTAGCGCTGTGAACAGTGAAGAATTAAAAGTCAGGTTTTAAGGGTCATCTTGCCGTGTGGGAGCACTGAGGGCCAGGAGGGGCCAGGACCTGGCTGAGGCAGGGAGTGGCACTGCAGGCCTTTGATGGCGAGTTGAACACTTACTGGGTCTGGGTTAATTTAACTTGTCAAAGCGACTCTCTGTGGGTTTGTGTTGTGTTTCTGAAATGTAACTTCTCTGTAAGGAGCCATCTCATGCTAGCTCACCCTCCCCTGAGAAATAATGAAGCAAGGATCCTGCCAATTGGGGTTTACTTTTTACATGTCGGGATTCTTCTTTTGGCAGCTGATTGTGCAGGTTTGATAGCAGACTTGACCTCCAGAAAGCAGCATTTCCATGTGTTTTTCCAGCCCTGCAATCCCCGAGGAACCAAGAGGAGCTGTGATGTGGGGGAAAGGGCATGGGCACTGGGAGACTGGTGGATCCTGCTGAAACCCTGACTGGGACCTCATGAACCCAGAAAGCACTGTGTGTGAGCTGTGGCTAGTAGTACACTGTGAAGGTTGGGGAAGAGTGTGAGTTGCCAAGTATGATGTAATGCCTAAGAACTTGCTCTGTAACTGTTGATGGTGCAGTTGGTCAGTGCTCTTAATACCAGTAGATGTCCCCACCGTTGTCCCATTTTTATAAATGAGGAACAGCAACAGCTGACCCACTGATCAGTGAAACTTTGTATGCTGGAATTGGAAGCAGAATTCAGCACTGGACTTTGGACACAAGCACAGAGCGCCATGCTGGGTACTTCCCTGGAGTGGTGGAGTGCATGTGACCTCACTGGACATTCTGGAGGCTTTCAGAGTGCTGTCAGTCTGTGTGGAAGATGCACGGTGAATCATATTTCTGGCCTATCACAAAGCCAAAATTGAAGCTGTTGTTTTGAAAACATTTTGAAAAACTGGGAAATACTATTTAGATGTGAACAAAATTCAAAGAAAAGTTTGAAACTTAAAAGCAAGAGACTTCCATGATATCGGAACTTAAAAGCCATCTATGACTTCGTTTCCTTCTCAACACATATATATGTACAGTTTTACAATTTGATTAATATTTTACTTTTACAAGTATCTGATCCTACCGCCTGGTATGCCACTAGCTTTATCTTGTACAGCATGCCGTGGACATCTTTCCACCTCAATGTGCAAGGATAATCCCTTCCTTTTTACCAGTGTCCTAACTGTGCTGAGCTCTGACAGCAGCTACCAGGTGGAGGGGCTTGAGGGGCAGGGAGCCTCAGGGTGGTCTGTGCCTGATCATCTGTCTGGGGTGCAAGCATTGACTTAGAGAAGTGTTTCAGAAAGCTCCTTGCTAATCATTGAAGAGATGGCTGCTTCTTTGGATTAAATAAATGGTTTCCAGCATTTAATTCTTGGAGCACAGTATATCACAGAACCGGGAGGTCATTAAGAATGTTGATGAGTGTCATGCATGGGGACATGCTGATGCTGATGAAGCTTCTGTCTGTTGGGCCAAGGGGTGCTGTATCTGTGTTAGGAAACAAGGGAGTGCCTGCCAGGTAACGGTTAGTACTGTTCCGTCCTCCTGAGTGACCTGTAAGGACTGGACTGGTTTTGCATTGTCTGAAACTTTAGAGAACATCTCTCACATTCTGCTTGCCCATCTTCCTGTTCTAGGATTGATACTGCCCAATGGAGACATTAACTGGAACTGCCCTTGCCTCGGGGGCATGGCCAGTGGCCCGTGTGGGGAACAGTTCAAGTCTGCCTTTTCCTGCTTCCACTACAGCAAGGAGGATATCAAGGGATCAGACTGTGTAGACCAGTTCCGGGCCATGCAGGAATGTATGCAGAAATACCCGGACCTCTATCCCCAGGATGATGAGGAGGAGGAGGAAGAGAAAAAGCCAGCAGAACGGGACGCAGACGCATCTGCCAATGAGGCCACTGCAACCAAAGAGAAGGGGTCCAGCTAATGAAGGCCCCGCGGCCTGGGCTCCAGTCCTCCCTCATGAGAGTGATACGGACCTTTTACAAAATGCCTTTTATTCACCTCCCAGGAAGTGTCTTTTCTCTGTTCTGTGCACTGTAATGTACAAAATAACTTATTTTGTTGATTAGGGGTGTTGGCCCCTTGATGTATACACTGAAAAAAATGGGGATTGTATGTATGTGCGTCTTACATAAACCTATCAGTGAATGTAGCTGCCACTTCCAAATTCTCTTTTCTCATCCTCAAATTTTTGAAATAATGTGCTGAAAATTCTCAGCAACCAAAAATTATTACCCAGGAATATTTCTTGTGAGTGAGCTGATTCATTCTCATCTATTACATCCATTTAAATAAATTGAAGCAAAAACTTCTTCCATTAAACGTGCTGGAATGGGGCCATTCCTAGTAGAAGAGGCCAGGTGGTGAGATCCGTATTTCTCAGAAGGCTTCTTGACTTTGTGTGAATGAGGGGTTCCATACTTCATTCCTGATACATTTTGGTTTCTGTGTTTGCATTCAACTCCAGATTTTCTTAGTTTAGAAAGTGGAGGCTTGGGCCTTCCAATTCATAGTCGCTTTTTAAGTGAAAGCAAAGGCTCATTTTTCATGCTCCTTGTTTTGCTGTTCTAGAAAGGCCTGGTTTGGGGCCATGTTCAGACTGGCTCTCAGTCTGGTCAGATGCTCTGTTCTTGAGATGTGGGGACCTACTTGTTACCAGAGTGGCAGCGCAGAGAGGAAATGGTGTGAATGAAGTACTCAATTAAAATAAGACTTGATTTGTACTTGATTTTGAATGTGTCCTTTGTTTTTATGCTTAAAAGTATTTTTGATGTCAGGGCATAAAACTTATGAAATATTCAATTGAAATTTCTCTTAAAAGATACTGGAAGCCAGTTTGAGTGTGTTAACATTTTTCATGTTGAGTTCAAAGCAAGCTCACTTTTTTTGTCTGTGAGCAGATGCCTTCGTACATGCGTCGCAGCACATCCACGGATAGGGAGATGCGGCCTGCAGATTAGCTTGCCCAAGGTAACTGCAGCATAGTTTTCAGGCTGTTGGGTGGGATGCCTCATTTTCCCACATGAACCAGTTATTGCTGTGTAAGAAAATCACCTTAAAACATAGCAGCTTGGAACAGCGAGCATTTCCTGGGCCTTCAGCTTATTCTGTTGTGGAGCTATGATCTTTGGAGTCATTTCAAGGCTTGACAGGCCTTCCTTTCAAAGTCACTTAAAGGGATTTTGACAGGATTCAGTGGGTCAGATCTCTGTGGGTTGTTGGATTTAGGGCCTTAGTTCCTCACGGACTGGTGCCCAGAAACACCGCTCAGTTCTTTGCTGTGTGGGCCTTACCTTTGGTCAGCTCTCTC